TCAGCTGCTCTGTGTCTGCCTTTGTGAGATTCAGAAACTCTTCCTCTTTGGAACAGGGTCTGTGCTTCCTTTTCTTTATCAGGGTCAAATGCAGGCAGCATCTTGGCTGCCATCTTATGTGGAAGTCCTTCCCCTTTTAGTAGACCTTACTTTTTCAGAGCAGTTTTAGCTTTACAGCAAAACTGAGCACAAGGTAAAGAGTGCTCCTTTGTAACCTCTGTCCGAACTCATGTACAGCATCCCAGAGGAGTAATGCACCATCCTCAGTGCTTGAGTACCACCCCAAGTCTGTGCATTGCAATAGAGTTCACCCTTGGTGACAGGTAGCCTATGGCTTTGGATCAATCTATCATTACAAGTAGTCACCATTTATACAGAAGGCTTTTAAACTGTCCTGCTCCTGCTCCTGCTCCAGCTTCCTTCTCAGGTAACCCCTGGCAGCCACTAATCCTTTCACTCTCTTTCCAGTTTTGTGTTTTTTCAGACTGTCTTAGAGTTGAAGCCATGTGTGCAGCCTTTTCACATTGTCATCTTTTCTGATTCCTCCATTTCTGTAACTCTGCTTTGCACTTGGGAGACTCGATCTGGAGCCACTTGCCCTGATGCAGGTGGGACGTCGCTGGCTCCCCCTCTGTAATTAATAAGTTCATGCTTATTCTTATCTGTAGAACATGTTTGTGACTGATGTCCGTCTTTCTGTACTCACCAGAGAAATGATTGTTACTGTGGTTTTGCCAAATGGCGCCAGTGATGACTTTCTAACCTAAACTTTTAAGTGCAATTTTGTTTTCTCTTCACTGAGTTTATACCTTTTTCTTTTTGGAATTGGAATTCTTATATAAAGCTCTGTGAGCTCTAACTTCCTCTAACTTAAGGCTCACAGGAGGAAGGAGGGCACCAAAGACTCTTTAGACCAACAAACAGCTTAAACTTGCAAAACCTAATTAAAGAAATGAGGTCACTTCCCGGCTTCTAAACCTTTTCTCTCTGGCTCTGTTTCATCTTCAGTACTGCTCCATTTGGGAGCAGAAACAGGCTTTCTTGGGTCTCAGTGGGAAGTGACATCAAGGGCCAAAAACTACTCCTGGGCAAACTTTTGTCACTTTGATGCACAAATGCAAGGCAGGCTGGGCAGGAAAGATGCTCTTTAGGTCTAAGTGACTTGGAGAGAAAGATAAAAGGAAGCAGACGACAGGAACTGTTATTTCAGCCCCCGCTGGCCTGGGAAGTGGCTGTTTGTTGTTTATATAATCTCAGCACTGAGCAAGTGCATCCCACAAATACTTGAGGCTTAGTCATTGCTACATACTCTGCCACACTCTGAGTACAAGTTGGAATAAAATGATAAGAAGATTGATGTTTTGTTTTGAACCATGTTTGAACCCACAAGCCATTTGTGAGTTAAAATATCACTCAAGTGAGGCTAAAATTGTGGCTCTGCAGTTAAGAGTACTGGCTGCTTTTCCAGAGGATCAGGGTTCTATTCCCACCACCCACATGGTGGTGGCTATCAATCATCTAACTCCCAGTTTCAGGGGCTCCCCCCTCTTCTCACCTCATGGCCAATACATGCAGATGTTTTACAGATATAATGCAGGCAAAACACCCACAAACATAAACTAAAATAGATTATATATATATATATATATATATATATATATATATATATATATATCTGGTTTGCTGTGCAAATTACATTGGATAGTACTGAGAAGGGATTCTCACGGAAGTTACACAGGGAACCAAGTACCTGACTTGTCCTATAGAGTTGTCAATATTGCCTATGTCAGCACCTCTGTGAAAAGAGGCCCTGTGGTGGTTTGAAAGAAACCAAAGAGAGTGGCCTTGTTGGAGTGTGTCACTGTGGAGGTGGGCTTTGAGGTCTCATATATGCTCAAGATCCTGCCCAGTGTCTCAGTTCACTGCCTGTTGCCTTTGGATCAAGATGTAGAATTCTCCAGCACCATGTCTGCCTATACGATGCCATATTCCTAGCTGCCATGCACCCTGCCATAATGATAATGGACTAAGCCTCAGAAACTGTCAGCCACCACCTGAGTTAAATGTTTTTTTTTTTTTTTTTTTTTTTTTTTTTTTTTTTTTTTTTTGTAAGAGTTGCCATGGCCATGGTGTCTCTTCACAGCAATAGGAAACCTAACTAAGACGGCCCTTTACTGTTGTTAGGAAACCTACTATGGAAATCTCCTGTGTGAACTTGAGACTTCGATTCATTTTGGTGCAACACGGTGAAGCACAGCTGGCTTTTCATCTGTTTATTTTGAAAAAGCAATCCTGAAAGCCACTTAAAAGTTCTTAAGCACTGTACATATAAGAATGTGGGAAGTCATCTTTCTTAAAGACTCTTCTCTCAAAAAATAACTGGTATGAACAGCCTGGCACCCATCCTTCCAGATAGTTCTATATTCGCATACATTCTTCTTAAGGCAGCATTAAGTTAAGTTAAATAATTAGTTGGTTTAATTTTGAAACAGGGTCTTACAGGTCCCAGGCTGATCTCAATCATGCTATGTTACCTGAGAATGACCTTAAACATGTGACTCTCCTGCCTCTGTTTCCTGAGTGCTGGGATTACAGATGTGAACCACCACACCTAGTTTTACTCAGTGTAAGACACAGGACCCAAGTGTATGCTAGGCAGGCATTCTCCCAGCTGAGCTACACCTGCAGCCTGGACAGCAGTCTTTTTAAAATAAAAGCATTCAAGTGTATAAATAAAAAGGAATAAAAAGGAATGAAAGATATGTTTTGAAAACTAAGTTGTATTTTTCTTCTGATGACTGTGTAAGTGGGGTAAGAAGAGAGAATAAATCAGGAAGGTTTGAGCTTTTACAAGTTTAATGTTTAACAGAGATGTTCATTTTTATTTGAGTCCATAAAATAAAAACTGTGGTAACATATAGAAGCCAGGAAATTTTCCTTGTTAGTTAGAAAATGTCTGTTCTCATATACATGTACTCTTTTTTTGGTTTTTCAAGACAGGGTTTCTCTGTGTAGCTTTGGAGCCTATCCTGGAACTTGCTCTGTAGACCAGGCTGGCTTTGGACTCACAGAAATCTGCCTGTCTCTGCCTCCTGAGTGCTGGGATTAAAGTCGTGCACCACCACCACCTGGCACATGTACATGTTTTTACTATTTATATTTTACTTATTTGTGTGTGTGTGTGTGTGTGTGTGTGTGTGTGTGTGTGCTAGAGTGCACATGTGGGAGTCAAGGGACAACTTGCAAGAGTTAGTTCTTTCCTTCCACCACATGGGTTCTGGGATCTGTTACTGGCTATCAGAATTGGTGGTAAGTGCCTTGACCCATTGAGCCATCTCACCAGCCCTCATTTATGTATTTGCATCTCCATATTTGGGGCTATATCTCTCATTCACTCTAGGTAAGCTTTTCATACTGGAGTATACTTAGAAATTTAATCTTCTCTTGAAACATAAAATACTCATGCCTAGAGAAATTAAATACCAGCAATAAATGAGTAATTTGTAAGAAAGCTATTGAAATTTTAGGGGTCTCTTCTGGCACACTAATGCATTTTTTTCAGAATCCTCATTTCAGGAGGGGTCCTCATTTATCATTTTTAAAAGTGACCAAATGTACATTGAGGTACCAGCTCTCTTTAATATGAAAACAGCTACAACAGGATACAGAGGAACCTCTAGTTCCTCCTATCCCAATGGGGTAGTAATTCAGTGCTTCATCACGATGAACATTCTTAAAAGTGCCAAGGGCACACTGTAGTTTGGGAAGACGACTTGGCTATTGAGATCTAAGAGCTGTGATAAAACTTTGCCGGTGAGCTTCACCATAACAGTTATAAAGGCAAAGAAAATCCCAGCTAGCATATGCCAAGTGCCATATGGGTAGTATAGGTAGAGGCAATAAACAGTGATGGGTGGGTCAGTTGCCCTAGTACAGGATGTAGAGATGAATCTGAGTTACTAGAGACAAGAGAAAATATGTAACTAGTAAAAGCACCAGTGATTAAGTGCACTTAACAGCCTTGCGTTCTGGCTGCCTTCCAGAACTTTTGGCAGCAGGGCTACAGAAGAATTGCTGAGCCTTATCACATCAGGAGACACAGATATCCCTGGTTTCTGAAGGCTCTTTTTGGGGAGGGAGAGGAGAGGATGTTGAAATAGCCTCAGGCAGTCCTGGAATTACTCTGCAGACCAGACTGACTCCAACTCTCAGAGATCTGCCTGCCTCTGCCTCCCGAGTGCTGGCATTAAAGGCTTGTAGGCCCAGCTCTAAATTTGCATTTTAAACTTCTATTTTATCTATTATTACTGTATGTGCTGGTTAGAATGAGAATGGCCCCATAGGTTAATAGTTTTGAATACTTAGTTCCTAGTTGGTAGAACAGTTTGGGAAGGATTAGGAGGTGGGGCCTTGTTGAAGGAGGTGCATCACTGTGGGCAGGCTTTGAGGTTTCAGGAGACTTGGTGCATTCCTAGTGTGCTCTCTGCCTACTGGTTGTGGATCAAGATGTGGAGCCTCTCTCAAGGCTGGAGAGGTGTCTCAGTGGTTAGGAATACTAGCTCTTTCAAAGGACTTGCACTGGATTCCCAGTATCCACATGACAGCTCACAACTCTGTAACTCTTCAGTCTCTGGCTTGTGAGGGCACTACTTACTTGTGGAGGAACATGCCTTTAATCCCAGCACTCAGAAGGCAGAGACAAGCAGATCTCTATGAGTTCAAGGCCAGCCTGGTCTATAGAGCAAGTTCCAGGAGAGCCAAGGCTACACAGAGATATCCTGTCTTAAAAAACAACAAACAACAAATTATAGAATCAGATTTTATGAAAACTGAGAATTAAGGACTATTTCACAGAAAGTACATGAAAATTTAACCAAGTATGCCCTGCCCATAGAGTCCCCAGAAGCCAGTGGCACTGTGGCTAGCAAGAATCATCAATTTGGCCTTGCATTTATAGACAAAACTGACCCTGAGACACTATGGCTAAATCCCCTTGTCTACATCTGCTGGGAAGAGCGAGCACTTGCTAGCAGAAGCTTGTGTCTGCACAACACTGGGAAGTGGCAGGTGCTCTAAGGGAGTGACATAGGATGAGGTAATGTCCACAGTCGTTCCACTTTCGTGAGCACAAACTAAAACCTAGGGCACCCCTGGGTGGGAACTGCATCCTTCTAGGTCCAGGTCTCACCCACCTCTCCTCATCCCGTCACCTGATTGGCTCCAGCCTGGAGTCAGCCAGTGAGTGACAGAAGATGCTCAGTGCCATGCACATGTTTCTCTCTCCAGATTTCACTGGAAGTGTGAACATCACTACTCCAGAGCAGACGATTCAGGAAGCCCAAGGGGAAACTGTCCACCTGCCCTGCATGTTCACCCTTAGCCCTGAGGACCAAGGACCACTGGACATTGAGTGGCTTCGGCTTTCAGGACCTAATAACGAGGTGGTGGACCGTGCGGTGAGTGTGCCCTGTGTCTGCTCACTCTCACTAGGCAGATGTGGTATGGTGGCTGAAAGCCCCACTGCCCAGGCTTGTGAACATGGATAGAATGACTGGAGATTTCAGAAGAGGAAGGGGCTATCAGATTTCTTGAAGGCTTCAGGGGACAAAAGGATGTGGAAGTTCTGAGAATCAGCACTTGAAATTTCGTGTGTGGCAGGAGGCAAGGAACAAGAGGGGTGTGCTGAGTCAGCTAAGCAGCTTGTCGTGTGTGTGTGTGTGTGTGTGTGTGTGTGTGTGTGTGTGTGTGTGTGTGTGTGGTGTGTGTGTATGTGTGTGTAAAGTCACTAGACTCCGTCATCAGAAGTTGGGATCTATGTCCTCTGTCTTTGTCACTCTTGTCTCCTTTTATTTCACTGTGTTTCCCAGCCTGGTCTCAAAGTCCAGGCCCAGTCATCCTCCTCCTTTAATTCCCCCTCAGTTCTGGTCTACAGTGTTACCTCACTGCATCTGGCCCAGGCAGGATTCTAAGATTTGCACGAGGCTCATATAACCAGCAAAGGGTCACGAGATGTACACAGTAGGATGCTTGTCTACATGACCACAGTCTGTTTTCCTCATTTCAAGTTACTTCTCCTATACAGTTAATTTCTTAAAAAGCCAAGGGAAAGCTGAGCTTGGCGGCACATGCCTGCAATCCTTCTCTGTGTAGGTAGGCTGAGGCAGGAGGATTGAAAGTTTGAGGCCAGATTGGTCTGCATAGCAAATTCTAGGCCAGCCTGAGCTGCACAGTAAGGCCTTGTAACAAGTAAGCATACAAGAACAAGCAAGGATTTAAAGTCCCTAAAATATCAGTGTTAAACTATAGAAATCATGCAAAAATATTACTGCAGAAGTTTTTCTAATCAAAGTGACCAGAGCCAAATGAAGAACACTGGAAAGTCAAAGCTAGCTCTGAGGAGGAGGCACACCCAATGATCACATCCATGTCCCAGTACTGGCTCACACTTGTGTTTTGGGTGGTTCTTTAGTATTTTATTTAGATTGTTTTATATCAGCTTCATCTGGCACATTTGCTTAAAAAGCTAATCAGCATTGGACTGGTCGCTGTGATGGTTCATGGGTAGGCGGGCTTGCTGTGCGAACATGAGAAACTGAACTCAAATCCCCAGCCCCCTGTAGAAAGCAGTGTGTGGAAATGTATGCCTGTAACAAAAGCACTAGAGGCCTGCTGGATTCTGTCTCAGCTGGTTAAGTGAGACACCACCTTCTTGTGGTGGCTAGTTTTATGTCAACTTGATACAACTACAGTCATTCATTGGAGAGCAGGAAACTTAATTTAAAAAAAAAGAGTTCCATAATATCAGGCTGTGGGCAAGCCTGTAGGACATTTTCTTAATTATCGATCAATGGGGGAGGGTCCACCCATTGTGGGTGGTGCCATCCCTGTGCTTGTGGTCCTGGGTTCTATTAGAAAGCAGGCTGAGCAAGTCAGTAAGCAATGCCCTCTGTGGCTCTGCATCAGCCCCTGCCTCCAGGTTCCTGCCCTGACTTCTTTTGATGATGAACAGTGATGATGAAGCAGAAACCAAATAAACCTTTTCCACCCCCTACTTGCTTTTGGTCATGGTGTTGATCACAGCAATAGAAACCTTGACTAAGACACTTGTCTCAAGGGAAAAAGGTGGAGTGTGATAGTGATGGACACCCATTGCTGTCTGCTTGTGTCTGTAGACCCACAGGCCCATGTCACACACACACACACACACACACACACACACACACACACACTCCCCAAACAAATAAATTAAAAATAAAGCATTTAGGAAAAAAAAAGTAAAGTTAATAACCTATATTGGCCCAGGGAAAGCACATGAAAATATAATAATACATATTGGAGTGTGTGTGTGTGCCCCATGTAAGGGTTTCCAACAAAGGCCAAATAAAATCAGGATCTCCTTCAGCTGGAGTTAAAAGCTGGTGTGAGCGCTCTAACATGGATAATTAGAATGGAACTGGGATCCTCTGGATGACCAGCAAATGCTCTGAGGGACTGAGCTCTCTCTTGAGTCACCTCGTACATATTTCAGAAAAGAAACCTTATTATTTTTACTTGTGGTTCGTAGAGAGCAGTCATTTAAACTCTGAAAGTAACATTCTTCTGGTTAGTGGGTGATCAGGGCACCAGGCAGCTGCTTATTTTCAGGGGTTTCCTCAGTTTGCCCATCATTATGACAATCATTGAAGTGAGCCCCTGGGTTGTGAGTGGCTTGTCTTCCCCTCCCAGGATGCACTTCTTCTGTTTTTGTTTGTTTTGTTTTTCCGAGACAGGGTTTCTTCGTGTAGCTTTGGAGCCTATCCTGGCACTCTGTGGACCAGGCTGGCCTCGAACTCACAGAGATCTGCCTGCCTCTGCCTCCCGAGTGCTGGGATTAAAGGCGTGCGCCACCAACACCCGGCAAATATCTAGGTTTTCTCACCCTGCCTACCTCCACCTCTCTTTCTCACTCTTCTCGCTGTGTCCAGCCTTCCTTCCTTCCTTCCTTCCTTCCTTCCTTCCTTCCTTCCTTCCTTCCTTCCTTCCCTTCTATCTTTGTATTTTGATTCTATGGCAGCATGGTTTTGTTTATTGTATTTTTCTGTTTTGGCTAATCCACCCCGTTTTGGATTGCTTTTAGATTATTTTGTATACTGTAGATAAAATTTATTCTGACTTCTACTATGACCTGAAAGGACGAGTAAATTTTACAACTAATGATATTGTGTCTGGCGATGCATCCATAAAGATAAGAAATGTTCGGCCTTCAGACAGTGGCACCTACCAGTGCAAAGTGAAAAAAGCCCCTGGTGTTGCCAAGACAACCATCCAGCTGACAGTTGTTGGTAAGTCACTATTGTTGCTGGAGAGCAGCTTCTCAGTAACAGGGTGGAAGGTCACAGTACTACAGTCACAACATTTATGAAAGACAAACATGACTTTTACAGTAATAATTATATTTATTTTCAATATGCTAGGGATGAAGCACAGGGCTTCATGCTTACTAGGAAAGGGCTCTGCCACAGAGCCACACCCATAGCCTAGAGTAATGTTAACTTGTTAAGTATCCCTAATGTCCTCACATACCATAAAATAAAAAGCTATAACATTTTTATATAAGAAAAATAAAAAGTCAGGCAGTGGTGGTGCTCACCTTTAATACTAGCACTTAGGAGACAGAGGCAGGCAGGTCTCTGTGAGTTTGAGGCCAGCCTGGTTTATAAAGTGAGTTCTAGGACAGAGGGGGCTGTTCCACAGAGAACGGTATCTTGCAAGAAAAGAAAAAGAAAGACACTTTCTTTGCAAAATTCTTGGAGATTTTCAAAATAAATGAGGGGTTTTATTGTGTGAGAAAGAACCCTGACCCTGGACTCGGGAGAACTGCATCATTGTTATTGTCACTGTTGTTTTGGATCTAGGCTTCTGAGTTTGCCCTGAGAATTAAATAAATTTCATTTCCTCAGGCCTTAGTCTACTCTGTGTTATGGAAGCATGGAGTATAAAAGACTGCAATCGTCACTGTACCCGTCAGTCACCCCTCAGAGCAGCGTCTGAGCTTTTGTTTTCACTGCACATGGACTAAAGAGGTTTCCATGGTGCAGAGCTGGGTGTTTAGGATGCTGGGGACAGAAGTGTGGGTGTGTGTGTGTGTGTGTGTGTGTGTGTGTGTGTGTGTGTGTGTGTGTGTTGGGGGGGGGGTGGCTTTCAAGCTCATGTGGCCAGGCTTACATGGAAGCTCCTTAACCTACTGAACGGTTATACCAACCTTAACTGCAAATGTTACAGAATACAAATCTTCAAGTAACTTGTGATAGTTTAAAATGCCTTCTCAAAACTACTAAAATAAATGTGATTAACCTTTTTAGAAAGAAACTATGAAAAAAGATGAAACAAGAAATGTCTTAAGCATAATACCTAGGCCAATCACTTAGTGAATTTATATATGTACAGTGGTTAGAATGAGACTGTCTGCCACTCAGTCTGGCTGCCAGTTGCTGGCACTATTGGGTAGGTTTAGGAGGTGTGGCCCTGATGGAGGAAGTACGTCTTTGAGGGCAGATTTGAGGATTCAAAAGCACCATACTATTCACAGTGTATCTCTGCTTCCTGCTTCCTATCCACTATGGGAGTTCTCGGCTTACTGTGGCAGCTGCCGGGGCAAGTTTCCATGACAGCCATTCCCCTCCTCCTTCTAGAACTGTAACCCAAATAAGCACTTCCTTCTACAAGTTGCCTGGATCGTAGAATCTTACCAAAACAATAGAAAAGAGCCTAATACTGTGTATATGAAACCTGGCAGTGCTTCTTTATAAATCGTCCTCATCGAAATTTGTTGCCCAGAAATAATTTTAACCATTCAGGGATAAGAATGTAGCCCACTGTAGACTGTTTGCCTAATATACATAGGCCTTGGCTTCAGTCCTCAGCACCCACTGCCACCTGAACAAAGTAGCACTAAAAATTGTAAGATTTCATAAAAATTTAGAATTAAAGACAGTTTGGCAGAAAATGCATCGAAATTTACCCATATGCCCTGCCCACAGAGTTCCTGGGAGCCTGTGGCACTGGGGCTAGCATGAATCAATTTGGCCTTCCATTTATAGACAAAACTGACTCCCAGAAGCTCTGACTAAACCCCCTTGTCTACATCTGCTGGGAAGAGCGAGCACTTGCTAGCAGAAGCTTGTGTCTGCACAACACTGGTAAGTGGCAGGGGCTCTAAGGGAGAAACATAGGATGAGGTAATGTCCACAGTCGTTCCACTTTCGTGAGCACAAACTAAAACCTAGGGCACCCCTGGGTGGGAACTGCATCCTTCTAGGTCCAGGTCTCACCCACCTCTCCTCATCCCGTCACCTGATTGGCTCCAGCCTGGAGTCAGCCAGTGAGTGACAGAAGATGCTCAGTGCCATGCACATGTTTCTCTCTCCAGATTTCACTGGAAGTGTGAACATCACTACTCCAGAGCAGACGATTCAGGAAGCCCAAGGGGAAACTGTCCACCTGCCCTGCATGTTCACCCTTAGCCCTGAGGACCAAGGACCACTGGACATTGAGTGGCTTCGGCTTTCAGGACCTAATAACGAGGTGGTGGACCGTGTGGTGAGTGTGCCCTGTGTCTGCTCACTCTCACTAGGCAGATGTGGTATGGTGGCTGGAAGTCCCACTGCCCAGGCTTGTGAACATGGATAGAATGACTGGAGATTTCAGAAGAGGAAGGGGCTATCAGATTTCTTGAAGGCTTCAGGGGACAAAAGGATGTGGAAGTTCTGAGAATCAGCACTTGAAAGTGTGTGCCAGGAGGCAAGGAACAAGAGGGGTGTGCTGAGTTGGCTAAGCAGCAAGGCGATGCATTTGTGGGTTGTGTGCATGCCAGAATCACCAGACTGTCAGAAGTGAGAAGCAATGTCCTCTGTCTTTGTCATTCTTGTCTCCTTTCATTTCACTGTGTTTCCCAGCCTGGTCTCAAAGTCCAGGTCCAGTCATCCTCCTACTTTAATTCCCCCTCAGTTCTGGTCTACAGTGTTACCTCACTGCACCTGGCCCAGGCAGGATTCTAAGATTTGCACGAGGCTCATATAACCAGCAAAGGGTCACGAGATGTACACAGTAGGATGCTTGTCTACATGACCACAGTCTGTTCTCATTTCAAGTTACTTCTCCTATACAGTTAATTTCTTAAAAAGCCAAGGGAAAGCTGAGCTTGGTGGCACATGCCTGCAATCCTTCTCTGTGTAGGTAGGCTGAGGCAGGAGGATTGAAAGTTTGAGGCCAGCTTGGGCTACATAGCAAATTCTAGGCCAGCCTGAGCTACACAGTAAGGCCTTGTAACAAGTAAGCACACAAAGAACAAGCAAGGATTTAAAGTCTCTAAAATATCAGTGTTAATATAGAAATGGTATAAAATATTGCTGTAGAAGTTTTTCTAATCAAAGTGACCAGAGCCAAATGAGGAACACTGGAAAGTCAAAGCTAGCTCTGAGGAGGAGAACGCAAAGATCCCGTTTTCAAGCACCTGTATCACAAATATCTTTCAGATGGTTCTTTTTTTTTCTTTTTCTTTCTTTCTTTTTTCTTTTTTTTTCTTTTGTTTTTTTGAGACAGGGTTTAGATGGTTCTTTAGTATATATATATTTTTATCTCAAATGTTGCATATTAGTGTCATCGGACACATTTTATCTGAAAAAATCAACATTGGGCCAGACAGTGGTGGCACATGTCTTTAATCCCAGCACTCAGGAGGCAGAGGCAGGTGGATCTCTGTGAGTTCGAGGCCATCCTGATCTACAGAGCGAGTTCCAGGACAGCCAGAACTGTTGTTACACAAAGAAACCCTGTCTGGAAAAAAAAAAATCAACACTGGGTTGGAGAGACGACTCAGTGGGTAAGAGTTCACGCACAAGGACAAGGAACTATAATGCAATCCTTATGGACGTGAATAGTGTGGGGAAATTCATGCTGTTAGTTTCAGCTTCTGAAGGGCAGAGGCAGGAGGATGGCTGGGCGGGTCCGGCTGCTAACCTATGTCCAGGTTCAGTTTGAGACCCTGCCTCAGATGAGTAAGATAGAGAGCACAGAGCAAGATACCCAGTGCTTTCCTCTGTCCTCCGTGCCCTCATCCGCAGGTAACCACACACATGCACACCAGTACACTCCACGCTTGGTTTTGTTTCCGTTGGTGTATTTCTCTCTTCTGTTTTTGTTTTCCTTTAGGTTATTGTATATTCTGCAGACAAAATTAGTGGTGACGTCTATCCAGATCTGAAAGGACGAGTGCATTTTACCAGTCATGACATCAGGTCTGGGGACGCATCCATAAATATAACAAATGTTCAGCTATCGGACGCTGGCACCTATCAGTGCAGAGTGAAAGAAAACCCCGGCATTGTGAACAGGAATATTAAGCTGACCGTCACCGGTAAGTTCCTGTTGGTAGTGATGGGTGTCTTAGATGATTGTGATGGGAGCACACGGTGCTAAAGTTACAGCCATTTATCAGACAAAGCTTTGACTCTAGAGTAATAATTATACTCATTTTTGCTATGTGAGGGATGAAACCCAGGGCTCATGTTTGCTAGGAAGGGACTCTAACACTGACCCACACTCCTAGCTCTAGAATGATAATTTTAAACTTTGGGGTATTTTTAATGTCCTCACATTGTGTGAGACATAAAGTAAACACATTTTTTCTTTTGCAAAAGAAAAAGAGGTGAGTTACTTCTTTTTGTTGTTATTGCTTCGTTTTGTTTGTTTTCTTTCATTTTATTTTATGCATCTGAGCGTTTTGCCTGCAGGAATGTCTGGAAGCCAGAAAAGGGTGACGGATCCCCTGCATCTGGAGTTACAGACAGTTGTGAGCCACCATATGGATGCTGCAAACTGAACCTGGGTCCTTCAGAAGAGCAGCCAGTGCTCTTAACCACTGAGCCATCGCTCCTGCCACTTGGTTTCTGGTTTTTGAGACAGGGTTCCACTAAGCATTCCTGGATGCCCTATATCTGTGTAGACCAAAATGGCCTCAAACTAACAGAGATCTGCCTGCATTACCTCTCAAGTGCTGGATTTAAAGGCGTATGGCAACATGCCCTGCCTCTGACAAACTTTGTAAAATCATTGACAATTTAAAAAATAAGTGAAGGTTGTTTTTCTGCTTAAGAATTTCATCCATGCGTATAATCTATTTTTATAAATCTACCCAGAGTTGGTGCCTCCTTTTCCTCCCCTTTCCCTCCCATCCTCCCCATTTTCCTTTTCAGCTTCTTGCTGTCTGTCACTCTGACCCTTTCCCTCTCTCTGGCCCTCTATTTCCCTCACTAATTGACTCAGTGCAGCCTTCTGTGTGGGGGTTGTGGGTCATCTACTGGAGTATGGGCAGCCTCTCAGGGCCTCCATCGCTAAAGAAAACAGCCTCTCTCTGCCTGAGCAGCCACCAATTCCAATGCTCCTCAGAGGTGCACTTTGTAAGTCCCCTGCCAGTCCATACTGGGATTCGGGCTTGACTTTGTGCAGGTTTCTGCAAGCAGGTCCTTTTTAAGTTGTTTCAACATGATTATAGGTTGTTCTGATTGTTCTGTTTTAAAAAGATTTATTTATTATGTATACAGGCCAGAAGAGGGCACCAGATCGAATTATGAATGGTTGTGAGCCATCACGTGGTTGTTGGGAATTGAACTCAGGACCTCTGGGAAAAGCAGCCAGTGTTCTTAACTGCTGAGCCATCTCTCCAGCCTGATTGTTGTTCTTATAATGGGAACAATAATTGGGGGTGGGGAGAACATGTTGTTTGTTTTTCATGTTACTTTTGGTTCTGTATTGGAACATATGCACCAGAAGAAGTTTTTTAGCTGCATTTCCACCTTCCACACCCTCTCTCTCTGTCTCTGTCTCTGTCTCTCTCTATATACATATATATACATACATACATACATACATATATGTATATATATATTCCTTGTCCAGTATAGGCGTATACAATGCTCAGAAGAGGGTTATGTCTTTAAAAGGTTGAAGCCTTGTTTTCTTTTGTGGAAACTGTACCAGGGACTACAGTCTCTGTCTCTATTCTTTCCAGGCCTACTACTATCTGTGTGAGCAGACACTAACCAAGGCCCACACCCCAAGGCTGCTCCTCTTCTCTGCTACCTTTTTTGTGGCTTTCCAGGTCTAGTTCCACCTTTAGTAAGCTCTGGTCAACAGAAGGTTGGGATGGAGGCCCTGAGAGGCCAGGAGGCCCATGGGAGGTATAAGACTCTGCACATTTCTCACAGCCAGGATGGTCAAGAGTCCCATTGTGTAAGAAAGAACCTGAGCCTGGACTCAGGATAGCTGTGTTGTTGCTGCTTTGAGCTTTGTCTTCTGAGTTTGCCCTGAGAATTAAATGTCTACATTTCTTTGGGCCTCAGTCTACTCTGTGTGTATGGAAACACAGAGTATAAAAGGCTGCAATCGTCACTGTACCCGTCAGTCACTCCTCAGAGCTGTGCATGAGAGTCTGGGTGTTTGCTTTCACTGCACACGGACTAATGAGGTTTCCATGGTACAGAGCTGGGGACAGAATTGTGTGTGTGTGTGTGTGTGTGTGTGTGTGTGTGTGTGTGAGAGAGAGAGAGAGAGAGAGACAGAGAGAGACAGAGAGAGACAGAGACAGAGAGAGAGAGAGAGAAGACAGAGAGAGACAGAGGGAGAGAAGGAGGGACAGAGAGAGAGAGAACGAGAGACATTATGTATCTGTGTGGCACCACAGCATACCAGTACATGTCAGAGGACAACTTTCAGGAGTTGACATTCTCCTTCCACAGTGGCTTTCAGGGATCAAATTCAGGTCATCAACTAGCCTGACAAGCATCTTGCCCACAGAGCTTCACCTGACGTTATTACTTGTTTAGCACTCAGATTATTGTACATCAAACAAAACAAAACAGAAAAGAATTTTCAACATCATCCTTAAGTGTGATCTAAATGGAGGGCTTTTTTAAAACTTGTGTATTATGGCTAGAGCTATGGCTCAGAGGTTAAGAGCACTGGCTGCTCTTCCAGAGGACTAGAATTTGATTCTCAGCACCCTCATGACCGCTCATTGCTGTCTGTGACTCCAGTCTCAGGGGTTCTATGCCTTCTTCTGGACTCTGTGGGCACTGCACACGGAGTCCTCAGGGAGCCTGTGGCACTGGGGCTAGCATGAATCAATTTGGCTTACCATTTGTAGACAAAACCGACCCCCAGAAGCTCTGACTAAACCCCCTTGTCTACATCTGCTGGGAAGAGCGAGCACTTGCTAGCAGAAGCTTGTGTCTGCACAACACTGGGAAGTGGCAGGTGCTCTAAGGGAGTGACATAGGATGAGGTAATGTCCACAGTCGTTCCACTTTCATGAGCACAAACTAAACCCTAGGATACACCCGGGTGGGAGCTGCATCCTTCTAGGTCCAGGTCTCACCCACCTCTCCTCATCCCGTCACCTGATTGGCTCCAGCCTGGAGTCGACAGCAGATGCTCAGTGCCATGCACATGTTTCTCTCTCCAGATTTCACTGGAAGTGTGAACATCACTACTCCAGAGCAGACGATTCAGGAAGCCCAAGGGGAAACTGTCCACCTGCCCTGCATGTTCACCCTTAGCCCTGAGGACCAAGGACCACTATTCATTGACTGGATGCAGCTTACAGGACCTGAAAACGAGGTGGTGAACCGTATGGTGAGTGTGTCCTGTGTCTGCTCACTCTCACTAGGCAGATGTGCTATGGTGGCTGGAAGCCCCACTGCCCAGGCTTGTGAACATGGATAGAGTGACCTGACAACACATCAGGGACAAGAGGATGCTGTGGAAAATGTGAGAGTGAACATTTGTGACAGGAGGCAAGGAACAAGAGGGGTGTGCTGGGTGGGCCGGGCAGCAAGCGTGTGGAGTGTGTGTATGTCAGAGTCACTAGACTCTGTCAGATTTTTTTTTAAAGATGTATTTATTTGTTATGTACATAGGGTTCTGCCTGCATGTATGTCTGCATGCCAGAAGAGGGCACCAGACCTCATTATAGATGGCTGTGAGTCACCATGTGGTTGCTGGGAATTGAACTCAGAACCTCTGGAAGAGCAGTCAGTGCTCTTCCCCCCCCCCCACCGTCCCCCCAGACACGGTTTCTCTGTGTAGCTTTGGAGCCTATCCTGGCACTCTCTCTGGAGACCAGGCTGGCCTCGAACTCACAGAGATCTGCCTGCCTCTGCCTCCCGAGTGCTGGGATTAAAGGCATGCGCCACCAACGCCCGGCCAGTCAGTGCTCTTAACCTCTGAGCCATCTCTCCAGCCCCAGAAGTCAGATTCTATAATCTTAAATTTTTGTCATGATCAAGCTTCAGTCTCCCTAGTTACCGGAACACAGGTGTGTCCCATCATGCCTGCCTTCCAAATTTGCATTAAGACAAAAAGCAATTGGTCTTTTTGGTTACATTATGCAGGCAAATTATGATAGCCTTCTTGGGGGCGCAAAGAGTGGCCTGTTGTTTTATTGATTTTTTTTTTTTTTTTTTACTATACCCTCTGAGGCAACTGAAAAACAAGAACATACAGGAATGAGCAAGTATGTGGTCCTGTCCAGTATCACCAATCCCTTCTCTAGTACTGGGCTGTGTTATTTAATCATATTAAATGATATTTAATCACACTGGACTCTGGGTTTTCCATTTGTAATGAGAATGTGGAAGCCAAAGACTTGGCTCAGCACTTAAGAGCTGGCTGCTGTTCCAGAGAACCTGGTTTCAGTTCCCAGCATCAACATGGCAGCTCACAGCTGTCTGTAACTTCAGTTCCACGTGACCCAGCACTCTCTTCTGGCCTTCCAGTGCTGGTGTTGAATATTGTTTCTAACTAATAAAGATGTGTTACATTTGTTTATACTGCAGAACATGACTTCAACTGTGTAAAGGTGTGTTGTTTTCGTTTATGCTGCATTTGTTTACCAATGAAAGGATGTGTTTTTAATTAAATGAAGATATGTTGCATCTGTTTCACTTTGCCTGCCTAAGGCACCTGATTGGTCTAATAATGAGCTGAACTGCCAATAGCTAAGCAGGAGAAAAGAGAGGCAGGGTTGGTGGGGGTGTGGGGAGAATAAATAGGAGGAGAGAGTGAGGGTAGGAAGAAGGGGAAGAACGAGAGAGGAAGGAGGAGAACAAGGGACGTGCTTGGTGCATGAAGCCAGGCAGACGGCAGACAAACAGACATAGAGAAGCAGTGAAGGTAAAATATACAGAACAAAGGTAATAAGCCCCAAGGCAAAGGGTAGATCAGAGAAACAGGTTAATTTAAGTTAAAAGAGCCAGCCAGAAAAGTGCCTAGGCTAAGCCAAGCATTCATAACTAATAATAAGTCTCTGTGTCATGATTAGAGAGCTGGTTTGTGGCCCAAAAGAAAAAGTCTGGTACATGCTGGGATTATAGGTGAGTGATACCACACCTGGCTCAATATAAATATAATTTAAAATAAAAAACAAAGCTTAAAATAATAATAATAAATAGGGCTGGAGAGATGGCTCAGAGGTTAAGAGCAACGACTGCTCTTCCAGAGGTCCTGAGTTCAATTCCCAGCAACCACATGGTGGCTCACAACCATCTATAATGAGATCTGGTGCCCTCTTCTGGTGTGCAGATATACATGGAAGCAGAATGTTGTATACATAATAAATAAATAAAATCTTTTAAAATAATAATAATAAATAGGGTCAGACCAGCCCATTTCTACTTTATCCTGTTTTTAAGTATTGTGGGTTTCCTTGTAATGTGTTTCTTCCTTCCTTCCTTCCTTCCTCCCTCCCTCCTTCCCTCTGTTTCCATCTCTTCTTTCTGTGTATGTAATTTAGCACACGTGTGTGCAGATGCATGCGTATATGTGTGGGCGTGCTTGTGGAAGCCAGAGGTTGAGGTCAGGTGTCATCTGCTCTCTCTGTCCATCACATGTTGAGATATGGTCTCCTGCTGACACTAGGGCTCACTGACTGGCCAGCAAGTGCCTAGGCTTTGCCCCCCAACCCCGACTCTAGTGGTAGGCTTACAGAAATGTGAAATCATGCCTAGCTCTCATACTGGCACTGGGGTTCCTAATTCAGGTTCTAATGCTTGTCTGTCAAACACTTTATTTACTGAGCCATCTCCCTAGCTCTCTACTTTCTCTCTCCTTCCCTTTCTCTCATTTTTTTTAAATTCTATGACAACATGGTATATGCAGATTTAACAAAACATTGTTTTAGATTTATTTTTTATTTTAAGTGAGATTTTTTGTTTTTGACTGTATGTATATCTGTGTACCATGTGCCTGCCTAGTGCCTGTGGAGGCCAGAAGAGGCTGTTTAATCCCATTGATCTCAAGTTACAGGTCACTGTGAACTGCCATGTGGGTGCTAAGACCCCAGTCCTGGGTCCTCTGGAAGAGAACTTCAAGCTTCTAACCCCTGAGCCATTTCCTAAGCCCATGCTTGGTTTTTTTTTTTTTTTCCCCTTATGTTCTGGTTTTCTTTTAGTTTATTGTAAATCTAGCAGACAAAATTTATGATGACTTCTATCAAGATATGAAAGGACGAGTGAAATTTACTAGTGACAACATCAGGTCTGGGGACGCATCCATCAACATAAGCAATGTTCGCCTATCTGACGCTGGCATCTATCAGTGTGGCATGTTCCATGGCTCTGGGGAGGTCAAGAGGACCATTCAGCTGACAGTTGTTGGTAAGTTACTGCTGTTGGTAGAGAGCGATGGTTTACTAATGGGGTGAAAGGTCACAGCACTAAAATCAAGCATTTATGTAAGACCAACTTACCTTTGACAGTAATAATTGTATTTATTCATTTTTGATATGTTAGGAGTGAAACCTGGGCCTCATGTTTTTGAGGAAAGAGCTCTACCACTGAGCCACACCCCTGTTCCTAGAATTATAAGTAAACTTTTGAAGTATTTCTAACATCCTCACTTAGCTTAAAACATAAAGCTGGGCCGGGAGGTGGTGGAGCACACCTTTAAACCCAGAACTCGGGAGGCTGAGGCAGGTGGATCTCTGTGAGTTCAAGATCAGCCTGGTCTACAAGAGCTAGTTCCAGGACGGCCTCCAAAGCTCCACAAAGAAACCATGTCTCAAACAAAACAAAACAACAAACAAACAAACAAAAAACCAAAAACATAAAGCTGGCACATTTTTAGATAAGAAAAATGAAAAGCAACTAACTTCTTTGCAAAATTCTTTATGATTTTCAAAATAAATGAAGTCTTGCTGTGTGAGAAAGACCCTGACCCTGGACTCAGGAGAGCTGCATTGTTGTCATTGTCACTGTTGTTTTGGGTGTAGTCTTCTGAGTTTGCCCTGAGAATTAAATTTCTACATTTCCTCAGGCATCAGTCTACTCTGTGTGTATGGAAACACGGAGTATAAAAAGCTGTAAACGTCACTGTACCCGTCAGTCACCCCTCAGAGCTGCGTGTGAGCATCTGGGCTTTTGCTTTCACTGCACACGGATGTGGTTTCCATGGTGCAGAGCTGGGTTTTTAGGATGCTGGGGACAGAGCAAAGGAGAAAACTGATGGACCGGAGAAGCCAGTCCACATCAGGCAGTGATGTCACATCCCTGGTACCAGTGTTTTCACCCTGAAAATGGGAGGTAAGCCAGGCTGGGAAGTGGTGAAGTCCTCTCACTGATGGTCAAGGAGACAAGTGGGAACTCCTATGATCGCCGGGCTTCGAAGTTTCCTTCTGTGTGGGGTCATGTGCCCAATCTCCATCCTCCCAAGTTCAGATTTGGAAAGGTGATAGTTCACAGTACACTTGAGCGCCTTACTGCAGCAGGCTTTATGCAGGTGGATGGTGGCTAGTGCTTCGTTATCGCAGCAAACCTCCTGTTGGGCAACCTAAGGTCTCATGTTTTGGAGGATTCTTTTTTTGCTTGTTTGTTTGTTTGTTTTCTAGACAGGTTTTCTCTGTGGCTTTGGAGGCTGTCCTGGAACTAGTTCTTGTAGACCAGGCTGTTCTCGAACTCACAGAGATCCACCTGCCTCAGCCTCCCGAGTGCTGGGATTAAAGGCGTGCCCAGCTTGGAGGATTCTTGGGGACACGTTTTTTGTAGGAATTTCTGATTGTCTTGTACAACCATAGAAGTAAACAGTCAGGGTCCCTCCCCACATACACACATGCTCACTATTCCTTGTTTCTTCTGTTTGACGAACTCATCAGGAAGAGAGGTGAAAGAGGGTACAGGTGGGAATCAGCCTCTTCACCAGGGAAGGAGTATCGGCCCAGGGACCAGGAAAGAGAAGGGCCACTGAGCTCATCCACACAGCGATAGGGACTATCTCCTGCAGAGCACAGACCCTGGTCAAAGGCACTGTGGCTTGAGTGCTGCCAGCTAAAAATGCTTCCTACAGTGTGAAATAAGTGACCCAGCCTGAGTGACTGGAGTTCTCAGTCATAATCTCACTGCTCCAAACACTTTGGCATTCCTCAGTACACTTAATTGCATTTCTTTCCTTATCAGTTATTACTTCATGTATGTACTTTATCGTGTGTGGTGTGTGTGTGTGTGTGTGTGTGTATGTGTATGCTTATGTACCATGACACATGCTGGAGCTCATAAGACAACTTACAGGAGTTGGCTTCTCTTTCCATCATTGTGTGTCCTGGATATCAAACTCAGGGTGCCCTGTTTATCAACAAGTGCTTTATCCACTGAGCCAGCCCTGTTTGTGCTTTCCAATAAGGACAGCATATATTCTTTAAAATGCTTCAAGTTTTATTTGTTTTGTGTGTTTTTCCTGCATGTATGTATGTCTGCACCATGGACATGCCTAGAGCCCTCAGAGATCAGAAGAGGGGGGTCAGACTCCTAACAATGGAGTTATGGTTATGAGCCACCATAGGGGTCCTGGAGCTCAACCTAGGTCCTCTCTGGGGCAACAGATGCTCTTAACCACTGAGCCATCTCTCATGTTCCAAGGATAGCATATACTCTTACTATACTGTTGGTTTTTATTTTAAGGGTCTCCTTGGCTGATCTTGAACTTGGGCCCCTTCTGCCTTGCCTCCCAAATCTTAGGCTTACATATTTGTATCTGTAAATGGTTTGCATTGTTGAGGCTTTAAAAATATTTCTAATTTTATTAGCACATGTAAATTATACCTATTATGCACAATTGCTTTCCCTAAACAAATGCCTTTCTTTTCAGGCTAATCATCTGCCCCAGAGATCACATCAATTGAACTTTTAATCAAGTTTTGCCAATTATTTGATCTGTGAGTCTTCAATGAAATGTGCCTTGTGCCCCCCTGCACTCCTTCAACCCCAAAAGAGTCCTTCATGAGAATAAACCAGTGTCTCATAGTTTTGTTTGATTTTTCTTTCTTCAGTTCTCTCCTGTATTCTAGGGTTTAAAGAACCTGAGACAAGTATCTTGGAGATAGAGATGTAATTTTTCTGGTTATCGGTTGATAAAAACAAATATGATTTGGAATTTCAAACTTTGGAAAAAGAATCTAAGTCATTCAAACAATATTGCTTTAACTCCATTTCCATGTTCTCTGGGGGTGAGGTGTACTGCAGAGAAGTTTGCTCTCTGTTTGTCCTGTTCTGCACTTTATTGCGGCAGTGACTCTCCAGTGTTGGGCTCCTATAACTCAGTATTGGAAATGCCTTCCCCAGGGTTCGGAAGGTTTTACACTAATGTGTATATTTTGCTTTATCGGTGAATGTATGTGTGCACATATGCTCGTGGAGGCCCAAAGTTGAGGTTGGTTGTCTTTTTCAATCACTCTCTACTTTATTTTATTGAGTCAGGGTCTCTCATCTGTTTCACAAGGCTGGGGTTCAGTTCATAGCCCCCCACTTTGGATATCTCACAACTGCCTGTCATGCCAGCTCCAAGGCATTCAGTGACCTTTTCTGGCCTCCAAGGGGGCCTGTATAGGTTCATGTGCACACATAATAAGAGTGTGTGTGTGTTAATGATGAGACTGTCAGTCACTTAGGATAAACAACTGTGTTTCCCTACAGCTGCAATGCTTAACTAACAGCTTGGTAGCCCAAGCTACAGAAATTTCTTCAGTTTTAGAGACATAAAGTCTAAAATCAGGGACCACAGGGCTCCTGCTGCAGGCTCCAGGGACAACTCTGTTTCTTAGTTCCTTTTGCTTGGAGAGCCATTTTCCACCCTTTTGGCCAAGGTGATGGCAAGATGTGTTTCTTTTTTCTTTTTTAAAGATTTTATTTATTATGTATACAACATTCTGCTTCCATGTATATCTGCACACCAGAAGAGGGCACCAGATCTCATTATAGATGGTTGTGAGCCACCATGTGGTTGCTGGGAATTGAACTCAGGACCTCTGGAAGAGCAGTCAGTGCTCTTAACCTCTGAGCCATCTCCAGCCCAAGATGTGTTTCTTGCAGGCAGCAAAAAGATAACTTGCTTTCTAATCCAACTGCTAGTCTGTATCTTTTTTGGGTAATTGAGATGGTAAATTATTGTCCAAAGACAAGTATTAACTCCTATCATTTTGTTACATTTTCTCAAATCTCTTTTGTTATTAAATTGTTATATTTGTGTTCTCTTGCTTCTTTTCATCCTTTTCTTTAGATCCAAAGTATTTGTCCCAGTACCCTCTTCAGAGGTGGCTTAGTGGTCATACATTCCTTTTTTTGTTTTGTTTTGTTTTTGTTTGTTTGTTTTTCGAGACAGGGTTTCTCTGTGCAGCTTTGGAACCTATCCTGGCACTCTCTCTGGAGACCAGGCTGGCCTCGAACTCACAAAGATCTGCCTGCCTCTGCCTCCTGAGTGCTGGGATTAAAGGTGTGCACCACTAACGCCCAGCCGGTCATACAGTCCTTTAATCTGCTTTTCTCACAGATTTTTTTCCTCCCCATATTACAGCTGATAGTTTTGCTGGGTACAGTAGTCTAGGCTGGAACCTGTGGTCATTTAGAAACCTAAGATAATCAGTCCAACCTTTCTGGCTTTTAAAGTCTTCACTGAAAAGTCAGTTGTTATTCTGATGGGCTTGCTTTTATAGGTGTTTCTCTTGAGGATTTTAACATCCTTTTGTTTGTTCTGTACATTCAGTGTTTTATTATATGACATGGGGAGTTTCTCTTCTGGTCCTGTCTACTTGGTGTTATGTATATCTCTTGTAACCTGATTGCCTTTCTCTTTCCTTATATTAGGGGGTTTTCTTCTATGATTTTGTTGAAATTATTTTTGTGCCTTTGACTTGGGTTTCTTCTCCTTCTCTGATTCATAGGTTTTGCCATTTTGTAGTGTCTCAGAGTTTCTGCATGTTCTATTCATGAGTTCGGTTTATTTTTTAGATTTAACATTTTCCTATCTATCTATCTATCTATCTATCTATCTATCTATCTATCTATCTATCTATCTATCTATCTATCTATCTGTTTTTTGAGACAGGGGTTTTCTGTGTAACACCCCTGGCTGCCTGGAACTTGCTCTGTAGACCAGGCTGGCCTCCAACTCATAGAGATCCACCTGCCTCTGCCTCCTAAGTGCTGGGATTAAAGGCCTGTGCCACCACTGCCTGGCTTTTTTGATGTTGTTTGTTTTTCTTTTGACTCAGTTACCCAATACCGCTATCTTGTTATTAAGCCTTGATATTCTTCTCTCTTCCACTTAATCATTCTATTTGTGAGACTTTCAGTTGTGCTTTTTATTTGATTTACTCAATTTTTTTCTTTTTTTTTTTTTTTTTTTGAGACAGGGTTTCTCTGTGGCTTTGGTGGCGGTCCTGGAACTAGCTTTTGTAGACCAGGCTGGTCTTGAACTCACAGAGATCCACCTGCCTCTGCCTCCCAAGTGCTGAGTTTAAAGGTGTGTGCCACCACCGCCAGGCAGATTTACTCAATTTTTAATTTTGAGTTTTACTTCATTTTGGCTTTTCTTCAGAAATTCTATTTAATTTTTATATGTTGAATTGTTCCCTTTATTTCAACTATCTTCAGTCTTCATTGTGGCATTCATCCATATCCTTTTTGAGTTCTTTCAACATATAATAGCTATTTTGAAATCATATTTTGTTTGTCATTAACTTACTTGAAGTTTTGGAGATGTTTTATCTTGGTCATTCATGTTTGTGCTTTTGTGGTAGGGCCTGTATCTAGAGTTTTGGTTTTTAGTTGCGTTTTTTTGATATGGATATCTGTTCCACCCTTGTTGAGTGGGCACTTGTATTGGTTTGCTCTTATCTAACCTGTCAGCTTATGGGCCAGCTGAATGGTGCTGGGGCTCCGTCTTGGGGCCACTCAGTGTATATGTCCAAATGGATTGCAAAGGGAAAGTTCACTCTTGTGCACCAGGGTTTCCAAATGCCTGGTCCATCTCTCTGACTTCTCCAACTCCAGCACCTTGGTTTGCAAATGGACCTCTACCCTTATACAGCTTTCTGGTGCCTGCAAATGGTCACTGTTACTTTTTTGCATCTTTACTCATGCCCCACCGATTCTTCACTCACTTTAGTCTGGTTTCATATCTTGAGACTGTTCTCATTCATTTCCTCACCGACACCCACTGGATTGCCAGATCTACTGGTGTACTGTCTTTTGAAAAATGAACATCTACAAACTCCAAATAGGAAGGAAGTCTATAAACCAAAGGAAGATTCTGTCAAGCCTAGCTCACTGAGCTTCCTGGTTTCTCACAAGAGCATAGGTGACTCCCAGGCAGCTGTCCCACTGACCAGCCCCACCCCAGTCAATTTTTTTCCCTCTCATACTGAAACAGAGGGAATGTTGATTGGAATCTCATGGGACGGTCTTGTGACTCTTTCCTTCCCTCCAAGAGGAAGCAGCAACAGGACCCACTGTATCACCTAGCTATCGGCTGTAGTTCTGTTTATTTTGGCACCACGACTACCAAGAATCCAGGTCTATCATTAACAATCCACTTCAAGGTGGTAATGGCATGTGAAGCCTGAAAGAGCGAGCTACAGCCAAGAACATCAGTTCTCAAGCATTCCATTACTCGGTAGTGATATGAGACCGTTAGCTTCCTGTTTTATACCTTCTTGCCTTGCCTCCTACATTTTAGGATCTTCTACCATCTCACTCTTAGATCTGTTTTACTTCCTCTCTCTGTAATCAATCCTGTCACTATGACAAAATATCTGAGGGGAAGAATTTAAAAGGCAAAGAGATTTATTTTGGGTCACAGTTCGGTTCAAGATGGACTAGCTCTGTTTCTGGATTCACAGTGAGGTCTTAACCACCGAGCCATCGCTTTTATCCTTAAGTGTCAGACTGCCAAGAGAAGAGAGAGGGGGGTGCTTTTTAAAAATGCATTGAGTATATATACTCAATATATACAGATATTATATATGTTTATATATATTAAAATAATCTGTGCGTGTCTGTGCACATGGGGCCAGTGCTGGGATCAAACAGGACCTCACACATGCTAGGCAAGCACTCTACCACTGAGCTACATCCCTACACCCAATAATAAAATTATTATTTTCACATTTGTGCAGAGCATATGTTACAGAAAAGTAAATGGCGCATAGGTATATTAATTTTCATAAACTGCCTTTGTAATCAGCATTCAGATGAAGAAAATTACCATCAGCTTTGAGGTTCCTTTTTTGCCACTTCTGGTTATTAATTCCCTCCTAATTCAGGCATTATGTGGACTTCTAAGGCTACACATATGTAAGGGTTTTTTTTTTTTTCCCTGTCTCTAAATCTTACAGAATTCTTAATGTAAGCTGGCATGGTGATGTAACCTTTGTGCTTAGGAGACGGAGGTAAGATGATCAAGGTTACCCTCCATGGAGTTCAAGGCCAGCCTGGGCAATGAGATGACAACCAAAGTAATTCAAAATTGACTAGAGATTGGTCTCTAAAAAAGGAAAATATTTATTCTCCCCACCGAAGTGTGAGAAGGCAAGGGAGATGGCCCAGTCTGTGACAAGCATGAGGACCTGAGTTTCAATCTCCAGAATCTACACAGCACCCTTACGAGGGTATGAGAGGCAGGAATGAGAATCCAAGGAAGCTCACAGCCCAGTCAGCCTATCCTGCATGACATCAAACAAGAGGCCATGTCTCAAACCAAGTGGAAGGTGAGGACCACACCTGAGGTTGTCTTCTGACCTCCATTATGTGGGAAGTGGGTGCCTGCCATGAAAGACTTTCAGAGAAGAGCAGGGAGGCAAACCATGGGAGAATAGCACTGTCGGAGTCCATCCATGTGGTACTGTGCACAGCAGCAGTGTCCTCTCTGCCACAGAGATGCCTGTGCGGTACTGTTCATATATATATCATATATATATCATAGATAGATAGATAGATAGATAGATAGATAGATAGATAGTACCTTTTTC